TAAGGTGTCAGAACTTTGTATGCGAAATGGTGATTATTTGACAACCCACATCACATCAGTAAGAAGAAGCCAAAAGGCGTCGAGAAAACTCACCTCTGTCTGTGTAGGGAATTTATCATTATCTCTCCCCTCCCCACTGATGATGTGCAATAGGAAAAATGCAGCTATTTAGGCGAATTCTGATCAGCTTAGAGATAGCATCGGTTTGACAACGATTTCGAACGAGGGTATTGCGTAGTGTTGAATGGTGTCAGAGTGGTGATCCACCCATCGTGGACGTGACTCGAACTGTGTTACCGCCTTTTCTAAGGAAAACTAAGAGTGGCGACTCATAAGCCTTAGAACCTCGTCTGCAATGGTCGACTGGTTTATCCTGGTTGCAAGGCTTGTTTAACTTCCCAACCTCTCGAACATATGCACTTCAATGTGCAGGCGAAGTCTCTTATTGAATTTGCATTTCACAAAATCCACATCTGGACACATCTCGCAAATCCTCGCATTATCTCCATTCCTATGGTCGTTAAAGTAGAACTCTCTTGCCAGAGCATGAGGTTTTGGTAGATGGTGAGCTGAACCACTGCTGTGCAGTTCTTGTTTAACTTCTCCTTAAGTGATGTCCTCGGGAGATGCGAACTCAACCAAACTGAATTCTTCGATCATGCAAAGGCTTTGCCTAAGAAAGCAAACAATACCACTTCCAGGTCAATGCCGACCAGGTTGACCCTGGAACGACACTTCAGCAGTGTCAATCGTGAACATATTGTAATGCTTTGTTTATGTGACAAACGGACGTTTGGCGGTCACTTTGGAAATTGTCTGGCCGCTGTACACGTGGGCTGGTTTTCGTGCCTCGGGACGCTGTACATATGAGGAAGGAAAGTTGCGAGGCAAAATTAGCTTGCATTTTATTCTTAAGTAACTACATGGAATTCTATTTCTATGCATATTCTTAAGGTGGTTGAAGGCGGGAACGGTGAAATTGATATGACACCGATAATACCCCTGTAGCGTTCCGAGGCTTCCCATGGAGTGGTAGAAGGCATAAGTGAGGTTGAATACATGTATTCTTAAGACATTAGGAGAAATGGGGCCTGAGCGTGGCCCGAAGGCCAGCCCACGTGTACAGGGACCAGACACACTCTAAAGTGACCGTCAATGTGGATTTCCACTGGCTCAGCGGATGGTCCACTGGTAATGGAATCCAAGTCCTTTCTACTATTGAATCAAGGCTACCAGCGTGCCATTCTGCGGGCTGCAACATGAGGAGGATGAGAGACCTAGGAAGTTGGATACATAATTTCTAGATGATCACCCCCTCTTCCGAGTTTCGTCGTTGCTAGTACGCCGGGAAACCTTTCTGCGTCAATAACCATAATGTGGTCAGACACTGCATTCCAACATAGGTTGAAGGACACGTGGGTTCAGTATTTGCAGTTCTTTTCGACGAGCCTCAGCGCATCAGGTGAAAGGAGAAAGGGTGAATATTACGTCTTCGTCTCACTTTATCTGTGGGATCTACCCAATCTGTATGCTAACAGCATTTGCGGAGATGTGAGTTACCTCTGACCACTCGGATGCTGCCGTCGGCCTGTTTTGCTGTGGTAAACCACAGCGTGTTTCATTGCACTTAACCCACAAGTTTTTCCATTGCTTCGTTTCAGCAAACTTTGTTCAGGCTTTAAGAGGTACTTGGGATCCTCCATAAAAACAAATTTTTTCGTTGGAATAGCAGAGCTGCTGAACAAACCCCGTCCACTCAGATGTATATGCAACGTTCTTCCATAATCGAAATAGTATGTACAGTGCCGCCGACACAAAGAATGGTAAAGTTACCAGGTTTTTCGTCGAAGTTCCGTCCCATAAATGTCAGCACGCTGATTAGTCTGCTCTGGCGGCATTTCATGAATTCTTTACGTAAATCAATATTTGAGCATAAGAATAACAAGTACGGAAAACGCATCGATCTTACAGATGCCGTTCCTTTTATCCTTCGAATGTCTCCAAAAGTTGCCTTCTCAGGCCCTATATCATCTATACTACCTAAAAGATTAGGGTCTTGCTAAACTTTGAGTGAAAGTGTCAGCAGCCAACAATTTAATGCTGTTGTTGTCAATATAGACTGAAAAAGGATACGACGCAACTATTTCTAGCTGATCCTCCTCACAAGTGCTCACCATATTCATGCTGGCGAAGGGGCATGTAATGAGCAGTATAACTTGAATTATCACTCGACTCTTTATAGGAATATGATTAATTTATGGCTCCTGTAGCACCGAATATGCTGTGAGGGGTGGTGTGGGAAGTGCACCAAAGAGGAGCGACGAGGACGCCGCTCAAAAGAAGAGGAGCTTATGTGACTACCTGACATTTGGCGGTCACTTTAAGATTTTTGTGGTCCTTGTACATGTGGGCTGACCTTCGGGCCATGTCAAGGCTCGTATGCCTTGCTGGATAGGAAGTCTCGGGACGCCACAGCACTTACGTGTAGTCTCCTTTTATCCCACTGGAATACATGTGTTCAGCCTTCTAGTGCCTTCTACTTTGTGGGGAGCATAGGGGCACCGCAACGGCAACCAATGTGTCATGCGCACGTAAATTGCGGAGGCCTTTTAGCTGAGAAAAGCTTTGGAAAAACTAATCTAACAAATTACACAATGATTTGATTTGGAGATGAGGTCAGTGTCTACGTAGCCTGAAACGAATTATGACACAAAAATTGTGGTATTGAGGAAGTCCTGCCCGTTAGTCAAAGGCATAACACATTATGAATTTGAGAGAAAGCTAATTTAAAAAAGAAGTTGTGTAGCAAGTTTAGACTGGGAGGCCAAGATGACCAAAATTATCAACCGTAATTGTTTTAATAATCGAATGCAGGACATAATACTCACTCTTGGCGTCCTCTAGCTGCTTTCGGTTCTGATCGTGCCGCACTGAGGATGTGAGTTTCCGTGTTTTACCTCTATTATGCTTCAACTTCTTTACTCGTAACTTCCCTCGTTTCTAGATGTTTCCTACTTTCCCACTTGTTAAAACCTTGGTCCTGGCCTCTCGGCCAACGGTTTCTCGTGTTGTGATGGGTAACTTGCCGAAGTTGGGGTCTGTTGCTACCCCAGCGTTTGCGTGGAAGAATCTCCATACATCCACTGCTCGTCGTGATATTGATCAGGCCGCTAAGTATATCGGTGCTGGTGCTGCTACCATCGGCGTTGCTGGATCCGGTGCCGGCATCGGTTCTGTCTTCGGTAACCTTGTTATGGGCTACGCTCGAAATCCTGGTCTTAAGCAGCAGCTCTTCTCCTATGCCATTCTCGGATTCGCCTTGAGTGAGGCTATGGGTCTCTTTTGTCTAATGATGGCGTTTCTGATATTGTATGCTTTCTGAACTACCACCGTTTTCGTAGCTGAGATCTGCTGATGTAAACTATGAATATAGTTTTATCTTGTCCTTAGTAATTGCATTTCATGCAATAGTTATGGAAATAAATCAATTTTTTTACTAATTGGATATTCGAGTTCGGCGATATCGTGGGTTATGTGCGTCCTTGTTTAACGCCTATTATCGTTTCTAGAACCTTTCTGGGTGTAGATTTCACGCTTATATTTGCGGCTGCTGGGTCGTCGTTTATGCGTAGCGAACGCGATGGAGGATTTGGCTTGTACGCTGGGGGTGAATTTCATTGCTTGCGATAGCCTCCGGTTATCCTTTTCTTCCAGTTTGGTGATCTGTCATGGGTCAGCTCTTTACAGTGTGCTGTGGGTTGCGCTTCTGAAATTCCTTTCTGAACTAGTCTCGGCGTTTATTTTCTTACGGAATAGGTCAATTCCTACAGGAGGCTCTGTTTGTACATTTTTTATGGTTAAAGGTTGCTGACGTGCTAACAGTTGCTCCATCGTAGGGTGTTGGTCCACCTAAGACGTTTTTATTGATACCAATTTGATTTTGAGTTCTGAGCATAGTATCCACTCTTAGGAATTCTAGTAACGTTTATTGCGTGTAATTTGTTGGTTCTTTTTACATTCGGTAAGGAGGTTTAAAGGATTTGCTAAAGATTGGTTCATTGTCACCTCAAACTCTCGAATAGTGTCGATGACATGGATGCTATTGATCGCTTACGCTACGATTTAGTGAAATGCATTTTCTCTCAGGACGGTGTTAAGTGTCTCGTGGTGGTGAGTAGAAAATTTCATGGCTACTGGTAGCAATTTAAATATGAGGGTAGCAAAGCTCGTCTATCGTGGTGCCAAACTTGTACTTGCATGTACTTGCCTTTGGGGCTTTAAGTTGCCCAAATGTAGACTACCGCCCTCTCGGATAATATGGGGTCCGTTTGCTATTTTTGCGCTATAGAACCCTCATAGGATCTTCCATAGACTTCGCCATGTCATGGAGTTGTATAATGCATCCTCCCAAGCCTTAACATCTCGTTAAAAGCACTTTTAAACATGAGGGAGAACAACCGCTGTCCTTTGTTGTAAGGATCGGGGAGAACTCGTATAATACGGGTCAGCAGTTATGGGAACCTACGCTCAGGTGTATCGTCCTATGATTCTGAGCGATTTACGATTATTGCTCTTTTTTTGAGGGCCACATAATGATCATTGGTGATGCGAATAGCATTTCGCCGTTCATGTTGCTCAAAATCCGCGTGTTTGGTATGCGCTTCTCAACAGGCTTCTGGTTAGTGTCTGTTTCCTGTATTGCTACTGAGACATTCTCATTAATAAATGTGGCTTTGAGCTCTAGAGTTTCAATCTCTTCTGTGGCATTAATGGCTCTCATGTTCGCAAATCATTAAGTGTTGTCGGTGCAGGTACCCGGCAACGGAAGAGTTGGTGAGATTGGCTCGTTAACTTCGCAATTGCGAAGCATATGTTGACGTGTCTACTGAAAACGAACGACCCACCTATAGGGCACAATCTAATGGCAGTTTTCAATATTTTTGCACATACGGTCAAGTGACGTCCTAGCGTCTCTCGCAGAATTAGTCACTCCAGCGGTCCCATAATCCCAAGTAGTCATGAGAGTCGAATAAAACAGCGATAAAACAATCGTGTTATAGATTGGTAAATTGAATTTATCAAGGTATCGTAAAATCAAACAGTCGTGTGAAAAAGCACGTCCTTGTGGGGGAGATAGAAAGAGATAAATAAATAAATAACTGAAGGTGGTGTTTGTGGAAAAGACATCTGAAAGGTGTTATTTTGCACTCAGTTGCGATCAAAGTCCACGATACAGCTCTTTATCTTCTGAATCCATCTAAAATCAGCAGAAATAGTGCATAAAAAGGGAGCGGATTTCACAGAACGGTACTTGGTTTATATTTATAGAAAACGCAAACCCAAACACTGGACGACCACGCAAATGATGCCAATTCAGGAGCCAGTTGAACATGCCCTGTATTTCAGCCAACAAGTGCACATTAGACGTTAGCGACCTATGGCTTGAACTTTAAGCAGAGGCATTCAACATGATGTCTAGTTGGGATCCCAAAACTCATCAAAGAAACAAACATCAATGCCATGTCTACCGCCAGCCAGATCATACACACCAGCACTTGGTTGTTTTGTAAGGCTGGAATTTTAGTAGGCGAAGGACACAACATGGCTAAAAGACAGTTCAATGAACTCACGTGTTGCGCACCTCCTCATTAGGCGCCTCGAAATAGTGGCCAACTTTGTCAGTGTTGTTGGGTAGTATTAGAAAACCATTCATACTAGAAAGGACGGAGAGGGTGTCGACAGCGATTGGAGAGACGGCCTTTGAGATGGGCAGTCCATTAAACTTATGGTTGTCATCCTCTGTTACTGACAATGGCACCTCATCTTCTCCCCCTCCTTCCTCCGAATTTGACAAATGAAGCATGGCAAGTGGCGTCTTTTGGCCGCAGACACGTGTGTAGAAGCTGCTATCCCTCACTTCACTAAGAGCCTTGCGAACGGGTGACCGCTCCACTTCTGATAATCTATTTCCTTCGGCCGGAGTTGCTGTCGAAACGGAGAATTAGCAATAAAGGAAAGTATCAACATCATTGCTAGCTGAAATACATTTTTAGACCACATTATTTTTTTTTTTTACTGAAAACGACGCTGGCAAGCACTTGAAGAACTTACAGGCTATGGATTTAGAATCAACACTGTTGCGGTTACTCGTTTCTGAAGAAATCTGACTTCCAAAGCGTTGACGACCTGACGGTGGCGAGGGTGTGGAAGTGGTGGAGGTGTTGCCATGATTCGTCGCTCCCTCCCCACTCACTCTCACGAGATATACAAGACGCGTCCCAAGAAGGATTATACCGTCGCAGCTCCGTGCGTCTTCCTTCGCAGCATACACAGACATCAGTGTGTCCGACTGGAGGACACAGAAAACCCTCGAGGTCTGCGGTCGAACGATAAGACGGGCAGCTGGCAATGGAACAATGGCGGAGGAGGGGAGAGGGGGGGATGAGGAGGATAAGGAAGAATTTGTGGCTACATTGGCGACAGAGGAGGAGGCATCACCAAGATTAGCAAAGTCGAGACTCATTTCGCGCGAGGGAATTGAGAGGAAGAGAGATGGAGAACTGTTGCCAGATAAAGAACAGGAGGTAGAGGGAGTTAAAGGGGGAGGTCGGGAAGGACTGGTCTCCCGGGACACCAGACCGGCAGAGTACTCCATGCGCACGTGCGTCTTCTTATGTGGCCAGCTGTCGCGAATCTTCTTTGTAAACATCAGGAATCCGCAGTGGTACGGTGCGTATCGCTGACCCTATCCGAGGATGAAAATGTCGACGGGATTTTGTTAAGTACCAGCAAAAAACACCTGTCTACACAAAATATGCAATTAAAGAAAATTGTTAGCTATCAAAACGAAGTTAAATCTTTCTCCTTTGCAATAGCAACACAAAAGGCGAGAAGACAATGGGTTTGAGAGCGCATTCACCACACGTAATGAACTGATGGGAAAAGTTGAGAAAATAGATTCAACTCAAATCCTTATGATGCTGTCCTCCAACTGAAGTCGCACTCCTCGTACCTAAACAATGTCAAGTCAACTGCGTATTTGACTCCATCTAATTTGTACAACGGTGGTTTGGAGTTCCGGTCAAGCCATTCAAACCATTCTTCTCGCCGTTAATATAAGATCTGTATGTCACATGGCAAGGAAATTAGATTTTCGGTTCACTTCGAAGGGACCACTGCCGCGGTGTTAAAAACCTCTTGAAGGTATCACCAAGGCCATTAAACAGCATAAACTTAAGTCATTGCTGTTCTCACTGCCAGTTATATGCCAAAGGTTCCAAACATATCGACGGGAAGGGAAAAGACATTTACCGATTCGGAGAATTGTGCAATGCGCTCTAAAGCCGCAGCGTTTTTTGGTTTAAGGTTGGGATTCAGACGGTAAAAATCCACTTCACAGACTCGAACCTCCACAGGCCCTTGATGATCAACCTTGGCTCTGTAGTTGGAGCACGCCCCGCAAAATATCTAGACCGAACGAGAAAAAACCTTAAAGCTAAACAGACTTTGCCTTAGAAGTGACAATCGCAACCTTGTCAACGTTTTACTGAGACAGACCAGTGAAAATAATTGGTTTCAGACGTAATCCCATCAACTCCATGTCTATTTAATTTTCGCACGTTTGAGGTGGAATCTGGATCACATAAAATGTTCTTGCGCATGATGACTGTTTTTTTATCTCCAGAGAGCTTCGAGTTGGGTCAAAAGAAGTTTCAAGTTTATAATTGTTATGAAAGATAGAAATAATATAAGAAATTGTAGATTTTGTTCCCGTGATCGTTAAGTCAATACCCGATGGGATTCTCGGTGTCAAGGGAAAGGATTAATCTCTCAAATATCGCTTGAGAGTTAGTAAAATAGGTGAGGAAGTTGTTTATACTTGCCTAACCGCATAAAATGATTTAAACTAACCTCGGATCTCGCTACGACACCTCGTGTGGGTGAATGTGATTCGGCTACAAAGCTGACCAACATTTGTGGCTGATTGTCTACAAGGCCAATGATACGGTCGCATGCGAATGGGCAAGGAAAGTAGACTGCGCAGCAGAGAGGCTAGTGGATACGTTTAAGAGAGCAGAGGTCGAACTGTCTAAGTATTGTGGCAATGCAAATGTCAGGTGGAGTGAAAACGTTCAACCACAAGGTGACCTGATCAAGCTTCTGCCAAGAGGAAAGCCATCATTGTCAAATGCTTGCATATCTTCGGAAACACCAGTTCTTTGAGCTCACCTTCGAATGCCGCGAAAATTCCCGCAAAAATAGAAACAAAATTTGAACTTCAGCAACAATTCATTGAGAAAAACACGCCATGCTAGAAATACAATTTTTTGTAAATAAAGCACGTGACCTCACAGGTGGCTGCCGGGTCATGTAGTTGACACTTTAAAAAATAACTATTAGAACGAACTTTAGAGAAAGCAAGAAGCACAGAGGAGGTTAGAAAATTGGTGAAAATGGAAGGATGTACCCATGGAAGCTTGGAGAGATGGTTGGGTGAAGGCATAAAATTTGTGGAGACGAAAGACAAAGATGCGAAGTACAAACTCATTGACGTTGGCCACGAACCTACATATGAACTATCGCTGCATGTTCCATCACCGAAATCAAGCCCCGCTGGACCCCTCCTCTTTCGCGGTGCAATGTAGGGTAAGTCGTCTAAACAATTGTCCACCAAAATTAACGAAAAAAATAGCATTGTTTCATAAACCAGGGTGGTCTGGAGAACATTCAGTGGTTCAGCTACGTGAATGTGGGTTGTAGAGAGACAGGAGTCTGCAGCTCTGAACCACTGATATGGATATCATGGAAACAGTGTTCCATCGACGCATATCTTTTAAAAGGACAATATATTTTTATACCGTTGAGGAGTTGCATGCCACACCATCTAATTTTGTCTAGCACAAACTTACTTCAGTTAGGCTTCAATTTGATGCAAACTCAAGCTCATACTTTTATTGTCAGAGAAGGGCAATAACATAACCTGAACCCTATCCCCAATTTTACTCCTATAAAGTATATCAAAAACTTTTATGTGTAATTGCTCGGGAAAAAGAGGTGTACCTGAAGTCACAAAAACGACTTATTACGCTGTTTTGATCCGCCTTGTGCTTGAACCCAGACTTCTGCGCATTCATTGTGAAGCCGACGGAAAAGTCCAACTGATTATACGGATTGGTGAGTCGGAAAACCAATCTGTTGTGCATTCTTATAAGGAGATTAAATTTGTTGAGCTTGGTGAGAATGAAAAGTGATGGAGAAACCCACCTTTCCACAAGCTCGACAGTGATGCTTGCGTCGGATATGAGTGAAATGGCGATAGCAGAGGGCACACATGGTTGCCTGCTCATCCTTTACCCATTCCGCGGCTCTCGGTGTCTCTCCTTCCTTGCTAGGTGTCACATTCTAAAAAAAGCAAAATGACGATAACACAATGCAGCAGCAATCTAAAACTGGCCTGTTAATTGATGGCGCTGGAATGAAACTCGGAGACCCAAAAACGGTGCCTATTCAACAGTGAAAACAATTTTTGACACAATTCTGAAGAAAGTTTTCGCCACCATCCTGTACTCTAGTCAAAGTTCACGCACCTTTCATGCAATACAGATATGCAGCCACGCTCAGTTGTCACATGTTATAGACAAGTGGTCGCCTGCAAAAGGTTGTGCGATCTGATGACATCAGCGCCAGAAACAGAAGACAGACAGAAAACTAGAACCAGGCCTGATCCCATCCCAAATGCATACTGAACCACGCTTGGAGATGACACGCAGGTTAGTTATTTTCACTTGGTTAAGCAGAGCATACACATCAGGTAAAACGTTTCACTGATAAAAAACAAAATGAAGTTAAGTAACCTTGAGCGCACAAACTCTTGAGAAGAAGGGTGCCTACCTCCTGAACGCAGTAAGCAATGTTGTGCTCTACTCACTGTCAACAGGTGAGACTAAGAAGTGACCCTATTTGGAAGTCAGTTCACTAGATTGCAAAAAAGATAAATAAACCCCAACTTTTCGAATTTGGTTTGCACCAGTCGATTTTGAAGGTACCCTTTCGTCGCTTTCCTCTAAGTCGTAGAGAGAAACCATCGGAGACAAATTGAACGAAATGTGACTCGACGTAAGTAAAGTGCCAGAACGCATAAACACTGGTGACCGAAGGATACAGCAACCGAATGGATCAATGAGTCATGAACGATGCAAACACACGCGCACACGGAACTGATTGTCTACCTGCGTAAACAAACGGCCTCATTTGACTCACCTGTATTTCTAATCGGATAGCGTTAATTGCAATTGTTGGGATGTTGCAAGACTGGGAAGATAATATCAGTGATGATGGATTGATGCGGCTTGATTACCCATCTAGCTGCACGGACTTCATAGCTCCCGTATTTTGTGCATGCCTGCCACCTCCCAACACTTCAGTACCAGTATGCTCCACAAGGTCTCAGAGATTACCCTAAATCATTTTGGAGATGCTTCTACTCAAGAAACTACAACTCAGATCTAAGAAAATCTCGAGCTTGGAACAGCTGAAAAATAAATTTCGTTGAATTGCAGCCCTATAACCGGGCGAGGGAATCAAGTCAAAGATTTTATTCAGCTTATACTTACAGATTGTCGCCTCGAGACGGCGTTGAGCATCAGGTCGTTTCTGTGACGCTCCTGTTTTATTGTATCCTCTAAACTCTTGTACCAGCTTAACTTATCGTCTGCGTCGCTAAAAAAAGGTACACACTTTGGAAATACCGAGGCTCAAAACTAAGAAGGCAAAAAAATAACAAGAGCTGATAATAAGAACGAATAGTGGTTGAGAAGAAATCATTGGATTTGACAAGATTTATCGAAGCATCAACCTCAGTTTCCCCTTGGTCTTTGGAACACGAAAAGGTATAACCTCACAAATGATATGCCAATATTTCTTCCTGCAGTGACTAAAAAGCGTTGTAAAAATGGGTTGGAACACAAATTACGGCTGAAAGGTCTTCACACTATCCACTTCTTCAACTATGCCCTTTGGTACGCGAATTCGAAGAACACACAACAATCCGTTGTGGCAGGCTCACAAACCAAATGGATAAACCACCGTTAAGCCTAAAATAGCTTCCAACTTCGCTGTGCTGCCTATAGATACTTTGCAGCTCAGATCAGCACTAACCAGCTAGGCAGCAGTTGCCCGCTTAAAATGTGAGCATTGAGAAAATCAACCCGTGGCCTAAGAATAAGGCACAGGCAATGTTCCAAGCAAAAGCGCTTCATGAAAGATTTTGTACGGCTACTTAAGCGACTATGCAATGAACAAGAACACAATGTTTGCAATTGCTGTTTTTCGATAGTGAACTTTCCAGCCGCCTATGCTTCAACCTTTAGATTGACTGTTCATCGCACGCTTTCTGCCTAGCGCTCGAGTAATAAAATAGGGCTTAGGCCTAGCAACCAACAAACTTATGAAGGCGATGAAAATACGTTAAACAGATTTATTAGTCGTTTGCCAGTGCGTTTTTTTCTTTTTTCTATAATAAGAACGAACAATTTTGGTATCCCATGAACATATCACAGCAGATATATCATCATATGGTTAACCACCGGAGTAAGTATTCCTACTAAGTGTCGATCACAATCTACCCAAATCTGACTCCATGGAAGTCTTTGATTCGAATTACTGCCGTGATGAGCCGCAATCCGAAGGTTTCTGATTCAAACCTAGCAGTACCCAGACATTCTTGGTTCCCTGGACTCGAAACGCTACACTAGGTCGATTGTGCTTTCCAATGACACTTATGCACCCACACCTCTTGTGATACCGAAAGAGCATTTTGACCATTAGAAAAACTCACCAGAAGTACAATACAGTGTGTGCTAAAGACATTTCAAATGCCATTAGCTTTGCTCATGAATACCTTAGCCAGCAGTGCCTATCTGATATTTGTATCCATTGAACTATGCATACAACAGTTTCTTTGGGATTCAAACCAACTGATTTGAAGGTGTACAAGAAACATATCTACGGGAGAATCAAAACGGCAAATTGAAACAGCTTACGCGAACATAAGTTCGACCACACATTCGACCGCCCGCACGCGAATGCATCGCTCGACAGGAATATCATCTTCCAGCTTTGGCTCCTCGAGCTAAAAACATGAATTAGCCTATGTAGTTGAGTTTACTTGAAAGGCCATATTTTCATACATAAAGAAATGTGTCTCCATTAGTAGGAGGTTTGGTGACTTTGCAGCTCCTCACAAATAACACATAATAGATGTTTTCTTCGATCAGATTTAGAAATCCAAAATCGTAAACCACATTGCTAAAAAGGGAAGTCATCCGCAATGTCGGATACGAGCATAAAAAATTAGACACAGTACTGCGGGTTGAATATTCCGTAAATATGCACAAGATCGAATATAAACGTGGTAAACTGAAGTATGATAATAAGAGTTAGGCCGATAACACAAAAAAGGTGTAAATGTTCACAGAAAGTTACACTTTCGGCAAAAAAAACACTATTTGCCTAGCATATCGTCAGTTTTAAATTCTATTAATTAAAAAGTCCTTCACCTTCCACTTACAAACCGTTAATGACATAGGCTTTACCGAGGCAAGATATCAGATGCTACAAAGATTAATTTCCGCAAATAAGGAGCTTTAAGGAGGGCAGGATCAATGAGTACTTACGATCATGCTCACAATCGTCAATTCCGACTTTACCAAGTAATGACCGGTAGTAACTGTTTCGGGTTCTGTCATTATGAGATAATCGGAGAACTAAAAAAAGCATTTTATCCGTTACCACATCAAAAATGAGGGTGATTAAACAAATTAACACCCAAACAAAGAATATACTATTAAAATAAGCAATAAAATCTGTTAAAATAAAGCGGATCAAAAAAGAGATATGAGAATAGAAAACACGCCTGCTTACAAGGAACAAGTGTCGATTTAGTGGCCTTTTCCCCACTGACCTTCGAGGAATTTTCAGACACGGACCCGAGCGAATGAACAACGACAGTTTATCTAAGTCACTTCTTCGTCCATCAAGCTTGGAGTTTATCAAAAGCGCTTGATTTATCATTTCCTGAAAAATGATGCTTATATGAAACAATTTCAATCTACGTTCTTCGTCACCTCTTCTTCTGATGTTTTCAAAACGTTAATTATTATTTTTAAGGCACCTATATGCTAAAAATGTAAGCAAAATGCTGACCTACATTCACACCGCTCTCGATCGACTCCCTCCGACAAGAGATCAACGATTTCTAAAATAAAGGCGACATTTCGAAAGGCACAAACATACTTTGCAGTAGCAGTTGATATCGCATTAAACGACTTTGAATTCCAATGTACATTCCTGGAATGTTTTGCATGTGTTGTTCAGTGAACTGACTTGTTAGCTAAGTAAAAGGTGTAAAATTTGGTTGTTTTACTGCTGATATGGTGAATCAAGCAGAAAGTGTCGTTTAAAAGACAACATACCACAAGTGATTGACAAAATTGTTGAAAAAGTTTATCCTTGTCATAAATGGATTGCAATGTTTCATATTTCGTTCGGACTCGAGACAAAAAGACTTTGTAAATATTAAAGTAAGGCGCTAGTTCAGCACTTGTAAATATTTGAATCCACCATCCAAAAACGGAATTCCTTGATGGACTTTGATAAAACTTATCGTCCATATAATTATGAAGCATGTATAAAGAGGGTATCTCCTTAAACACATCACGAAGGACATCTTGATGATCCGATTCAGTCGTTTCAACTTTGTCACTAATGTCTTTTAAAATCCGTAATGTCTCGAGATATCGTTTCTCAGTAGCGAAAAGTTCCTTCGACAAATTCTCCAACTTCCGAATTTTCTTCTGAGAAGGAGATTGCTCATCAGCGCCGTAGGACCCATGTCTCGCAGATGCCAATAACGTCTTCACGCGATCCTTTGCTTCAACTTCAAGTGAAATTTGGGTTCTTTGCTTTAATCCAGCTTCGCTACGAAGATATAGTGTTCTGATCGCGTCACTTATTGCATTTGCTGCCTTGATATTATGAGTAACGCTATTTTGGGGTTTCTTTGTCTCTTCCCTTTTAATGAGGTCAGGAATCAAGAAGTCAATTTTAAGTGCAAACAACTCCGACGCGATCATGGGAGAACCGACCCCACCAAATCATTGAAGCAGCCGGGTAAAGTTTCAAGGGCATTATTCAGGTAAGTGCAGTATATTCAAACCCAAAGCGATTGCACACTAACTGCCGAAAATATAAGTTTTTAAATCGCAGTTATTGTTCGCCAATAAAGCTTTATTCTAAATTATCTAAAAGTGTTAATCTAAAATTTCAATTTTATGGACTTACTCATAAGTTCCTGTCGCAAATCTTAAAGGTCAATATGAATGTTTGTAACATCTAAAGGCATTGAGTTGTACTGCACACATGTAATCTAGGAGAGGAGAGACACAGATCTTCACTTTGTCGGAAGAAAAGTCAATGCGTAGAAACCCGCCGGCACCCTACCCCGCGCAAATTTTTACTTTTCTCAATAGTCCACTTCCACTCGTCAAGTTACCACTACGAGCGCGTACAAGGATTCTAACGACTGCGGCAGGGTTCCACACTACCTCCCGACCCGCACCATGTCTCACCTCGACTCCTTAGCGAAGGAAGACAACTTCGGACGCGAGAAATAAGTACACTGTATTTTCGCCTGGGTTAAAACAGGTCAAACCACCAGACTAGTTCCACCCAAACACATAATCAAGCGCTTTAGACAACAGACCAGAAGAAGACGAGGTTTCCGCCTGCAAATGGGAGGTAAACAAAACCCATGTTAACCAAACCATCATGAGCTCTATTACAGTATTGCGTTAAAGATAAATCCATAATGTGCTATAGAAACTTACCCGGAAGGATTGGTTCTGATTGGCCCTGGTTACATGCACCCTGGGGGGTGGTTGGTAGGGTGCCGCTAGCGGCCGCATGGAGCTGTGTCGAGAGAGGGCGGCAGCGGAGCGCACAGGACCCAGACAAGTATGTCCACTTGCTAAGCTTCGTTTAAATGACCCCGAAACTTCCGTGGTGGCCACAATCCGCGATCCATCCCGACGCAGCGGAGATTCAAGCCTGGCCGCGGGCGAATTCAAAAGTCCTTGAACGTGAGACTCTGAGACGCTATTTTCCACAACGTCAGTGGGTTCGACATCAGACAAAAAGTCTGAAGCGCCAGGAATGACAGCCTCAGAACTGTTTAAGGCATTCTAGAGAGGAGAATGGACCTGTCAGCAAGAAAAACCTACCAGATCGTTACATCTTCGCACACCTATCATGAATTTACCAGCGAGCACTCGACCATTTTTGTTGAGTGCGCACCTTGCTTGAATCTTATTTGCATACTTAATGTTCATCCAATTTCCGCCATTTGCAATCTATATACGAAAGAGGCGTTAACAATAGCAGAATAAAAACTCAGACATTAACGCGAGAACTAACAATGTATTTTTCAATAGTCCCCAGATGAGCAAAGTGCTGCAATATAAAGTTTGCTTGGGCTGGATCATATCCGAAAACAGTTATCCAAGTTGCAGTTTCATCGTCAGGTGTGGCAAGGTAACTAGAGATTTAAAAAACTTATGATAGATGGAGGGAGAACACTGGCGCAAGTACGAGGATTCACCTCACCCCTCCTTAAGTGACCTGTCCGAAGACGATATTTGTGTTAGAGAATGAAACAGAGGCGAAAATCCTGATCCATCCACCTTGGAGTGAGTCACCACAGGCTGATTAGGGGTAATTGTGGAATCTTTTGGGATGGACTCCACGGCAGATTGATTGATTCCCAAGTCAGACACTCTTTTTTGACTTGCACTGGACCACAAACTTTGAGTTGGTGGAGAGGCATGTCGCCGAACGCTTCGTTCAACTGAAGGTGGTGGCTTTAACCCAGATAAACGAGGCTAAGAGAAGAAATACAGTGGTGACAAAATCACACACCTGCACTATTCTTGTATGCTGAGGAGGGTGAGGCTTGAATATGGGTGAAACTTGGTATCCATTTGATGGTGAAGCCTGAAATTCTCCCATTAGGAATCCAGGCAAATACTTCGGACTCGATGAATTAAGAGGGGACGCTGAAGGAGAACCCATACTCATTGGCTCCAAATTCTTACTACTCCTCCCAGACGATTGCGCAGAACACTTTGGAGACGATAAACTAACACCAAGCATTAAGAGCAAAACACCGCTGAGGATTTAAAGCAGAGCAACATTTTAAACACATTAGCACTAAAAACAGGGGCAATAGTAGTTTTAGCAATCGAAGTTGCATATAAACGCTTTGAATAATTAAATTCATGCATAAACTGACATTTTCTGAGAAAATTAAAAAATAAATCCCTCCACAATAGTTACATCCAGAAGCATAGCATCTTGTTTTTGGGTTGTATTAGCTATTGGAGTCCCTTTTATTCTTTTGCTTTGTTTGTCAAGATTTTTAATTAGGTATCATAAAGTATTTGGCACATAAGGATATCCGTATCTAGGCAGAACTTATAGAAGTAGATCTATGGCCAGTCTTGAATTTCTCCCCACAAGCAAAAGCATTATGGCCGCCAATGTGCAGGAAGTCGTATATATAAAGTATCACATTTTGCACTTCTCCTTTCGAGCTATGCCTTTGATGCTTCTCGTGATGCACTTTCTCACTAGTCGGTGCTCAGATAAACACATAGGCCAGCTCTGACAGTCAGTCCCGCCTACGAGACTGCCAGGTTCCACTTGCCCCTATAAGCACAAACCTTTAAAATTGTAATTGTAATTGTAATATGTACTAGTTTATTTAAGTGGACTTTTACAGGAGAGAAGCGAGAACCAATTGGGAACGCGAATCATGTGCGCGAAGGCGTTAAGGAGTCTCTCTCCAGTTGATATCTCCTTTTGGGCTCATCGGCATTCCAATCTCCATTCTTCCTGTAACAAATGCCAAATAAATCATTTGCAACCAATCCTCTCTTGAAGTCGGAGGTTCAAGGGCAGGTGAGTAGACAGGCAGCTATTACATCCATTTGCTCCGAAAGCAAGTTTACTGGGAGGGAAATTTTGTTAAGCATTAACTTTTCCGGAACTAAACATTAGGAAACTAATCAAAAAAAAGTGTAGTGGGAGAAACGGGATCTAAAAAACTTGTAGGAAAGAGAGTCCAACATTGTGTTATCATCTTAATCCATACGTGGGTGGCGTAAGGACAACTCCACAGTGGGACTATTCGGGGCGGATTGGAGCAGTGCTGCCTCGGCTGTTGGTAGTTTCCAAGTGAAAAACGAGGACATTGTAGATACTTTGCTTTTGCGGAGAAATAAGGAATTTCCTTACGTTAGACACCTCTAACATTCGCACCTCAGAAGTACGGAACGAAAGGATTCGCCTTTCGTGTAAGGCCTTTAGGCTTCTTGTTCGAATAAAAAAAAATTTGGACATAGCTGACTTAATGCTTTATTTGTGCAGCCACCTGTATAACTAGCAGTGGCCCTGATATTCGCCTTGCCTTTCACCTCGTAGGCTGACCTTTGGACTGCGTCGAAGTCCAGTCTCTCCAACTTCTCCATGAAAAATCGCATTCGGCTCTATTCGATGTCAACCTTTTCTTTTAAGTAAGAAGACACGGAAAGTTACATTAACATTTACATTAGCCATAAGTCCTACTGATTGCTTTAGAAATAAGAGAATTGCATCAGTCACAGAAGTATAAACTCGGAAAAGAGGAGGAATACATCTCCATTACCCCTACACAATGACTGGCTAGACTCACAAAGCGAGTTAAAGGTGATCCTCACCTTTAAGCTTAACATTAGGATATCTGCGAAAGGACATGACAGAATGGACTGAAAATTGGCGACTCACATAGCGCTTGATGGAAACCATGAGTTAAAAACCGACAACTTTGAAACTAAGAGATTGAAACGATAAAGCCGAACAATCCTGTTTGAGCCATCCCCAGGATACTGTGTAATGCAATCAGAAGTACTCGATTTTTACTGCCATTTAGAGGGAGGCAGAGTTAGAAGACGCCTAAATGACGCAGGCCAACACCAAGTGGTTAGATGGGAAGCTCTGGTCATCTCAGTTTACTGCGCTGAACCGAAGAGTTGCCGTACCGCCAAGTCAGCACACCCGCAATACAATTATTCAGCCACGCCCAACGTCTTCCACTACCAAACGAGAGGTCTCGGAGCGTTACAACTACATTGCGTGCATTTACTACAACACAAGGAATATTTAATGGTAACTGATTTTGGCAAAGGACGAAAAAAAAGCATCAGCCTATGAAGCTGATGATTGAAAAGAAGTTCTGCAAATGAAAGTAAAGATACGATACCAAAAAAGGACAGTGCTCTAGCAAATGCGACCAGTCGTACCTTTTAACCACAGCAAATAAGGGTTGGTCACACTGAAATGCTTCCATATAAAGTAGTGGCACTGATCGTAGACGAAGCGGAGGATGGAAGGCAAGATGACGTAGGAGGCTGAAGGATGTGGTTCAAATGTGCCATATGTTCGAGAGGTTGGGAAGTTAAACAAGCCTTGCAACCAGGATAAACCAGTCGACCATTGCAGACGAGGTTCTAAGGCTTATGA